GGACACCGTTCAAACAACAGGCAAGAATACTGACTTTCCTTTTCATCGATATACTGTGTTGAGTTATTTATTTAAAATACGCCTAACTAATTGACTTTTTTCGAAAAATATAATACACTAATGGCATTCGGATCTCCTAGACATTCTTGCTTCACTAAACCCACCATTGCATCCGCTGGTGTTCGCTTTGGCTGCAGCAAATTACCTGAAAAGTTTATTATGAGACATTACTTTTGCAACTTAAATGAAGTAGGCATTTGCCTATTTAACAAATAAGTTAAACAGTTTATAATTATATTCTTTGATTTAATTTATTGAATATTTTATTTTGAATATATATTTATTTTATTTATTGAATACGAATGTAATTTATATTCTTCATATATTCATTACAGTATTCAAGTCAAACTATTTGTTTGCAAAGTTATTTCGGATATTTAACGTTTTTGAGATGTCAATAATTGGAAAATAGGAAAACTGACAGCAGTCATTCTTAGAGATACGATGGTTCTAGCGTTAAACAATATATTTCACATATAAAATGAGGAAAAGGAAATAGATACTCACCTACATAGTTTAAGAAGTTCAGTAAATTACAGACTTGTAAAGGCACAGGACGAGATGACTAGGAGTAATGTTGCCAAGGCTAACGTGGGTTGAGATGCAGCAGCTTTTTGTCCTTGAACTGCAAATATGATTAATTTATACGACATGTACGTTTACTTGTTAAAATAAATTACTTTATGTTAGATATTTACCATTTTCAGCTTCCTCGATTACTTCTTCTATAAAGTGACAGAAAAAGAAGAAAATTAATAAGATTATTTTACTCATTAACGTTATTACTTATGCTTCATTCATTATTAAAAAAAATAGCAACGTATCTATAGATTTGAATATTTCAATACTTTCGAGAGAATCATATCGTAAAATAAAGAAAGATTTCCATCCTTAATTCTTGTCCTATCATAAACCATAATTATCATATTGTTAAAAATAAAGATATTTAGCTGAGATTTCTGGCATACTTTTTCATATATCAAATATTTATAATGATGTTGTCATACCTCCCATAAATATGTACGGTTTCGAGGGTTGAGACCATCCGTATTCGTTTCTAGCTTCGAGAGTCGCTTCATACGATCCCGGCTGAAGTTCTTCGATCTCGTGTTCCACCGTAAATTCAATGCCCTTGCCGTTCGTTACTGTCGGTTTCAGAATGATCCAATTGGTTTCTCCTTTACGACGGTACTTCAACTATAGAAATTCAATATTCAATAGTAACGAAAAGCTTCTCCTAAACAATTCCTTATAAGAAAGAAACAAGAAACGTTAAGCTTACAACATATTCGGTGATAGGCGAGAAACTGTCCAGTCGCCATCTTAGGATTAAACCTCTATTAGTCTTGGCCGCCCCACCGCTTTCTATCCGTGCTTCGGATGGCGAACCTGAACAGTAAGAATTTCAGATTTAATAAATACTCTGATTACAAAGAGAATTAATTTTACTGGATGACATAACGTATCTCATATTTCAAGCATATTCCGGTTGAGTTTAGACTCAAATATGTTTATTAAAGTTCTTACGTTACACTATTACCTAGTCATTTCTGTTATTAACACTACAACTACCGAACAGTGTTTGTGTATTATGAAAAACAGTTTCTTCAACCATTTTTGAGAATCATTTATCTTTTTGATAATTGCGAAAGAAGACGTAAGGAACGGGTCATTTTGACCCACATGGTAGTTTTAGTGTTAAATACCTTTATTCGACATTAATCTTTGTCGTAACTGTAGCAATTTGTAAGTTTCGGTCATTGATGACCATCGTGACAGTGGACGTGTTGAAAAAATACTTAGTTGAGTGGTTCATTATTTTTTAATCTACTTTTATTATTGCACTGACGCAGCGGTTAGAAACAGAACGAGGATATAGGAGAAGCTATGAAAAGCAAGACAATTACCGGTAAGGACAATCGACTTTTCAGCCTGTCCAAATTTGTTCTCCGCGACACACTTGTATTCGCCGAGGTCCTGCTCTTTGGTGTCCGCGATTTTCAGCGTGTATAGCGGCTTCACTGTTTTCAGCTCTATCCTCCGCGGCTCCGGCTGGATCTCTTTCTGGTTCTTGAACCAGCGCACCCTAGCCGCCGGATGTGCGTAAACCTTGCACGTCAGATTCGACTCGACGTGGAGTCCAGTGTGCACCGAATCCCTTTCCACCTCTATTTCAGGAGGATCTATGAAAACAAATACGCGGTGTTCGTGTTTGATTCACTCGTTTGTGGAACGTGGCTAAATATAGAGACGGCATGGACCACAGTCGTAAAGCAATACTGGGCCAAAGACTTCGGGTCTGCTTACAATTGACGACGACCGATATGACTTGCACGGGCGGCCTCTCCGAGCCGTCCTCCGCCAAGCAATAATACTCGCCGCTGTTGTGCCTGGTCACGTTCTTGATCGTCAGGTGGTTGGTTGGCATACCATCGTTCAAAACCAGCGATTTCTTTATCTGTATTCAACGAAAAAGGAGGTCCGTCGGTTAAAATTGCCAGTTTTAGGTCATCCGTAAGGGAGAAATTTCATTTCATTGTTTCGGGAGAAGAACATGAATTTTAACCATTTACACTCTTGAAAGGCGACCTTCGATCGTTACTTGATTTGACACGACAAAACTATAAAGTTTGATATTTAATATTAAAATTTGTATAATACATGAATGTATGAAATATTGAAATAAAATAACTTTCTTCTTTTATTTATGGACGATTTCTCTTTAAGCTGGTTCTAAGAAATGTCATCTATTGCTCGTTAAAGGACGATGAATATTTCTAGTGAAAGGCTTTCGAATGTAAAGGGTTAACTTTTTATAATGGCACATGTGTAAAATTGTTCTTGGAGATCATTGAAGAATTTACTTCCTTATTGTTAAAATTTACTTGTTTCTACTTTGAAGATTCAACTATCAAACTTTAAATTCACATGGGTATCTGTAATTGTTCACTTTTCTATAATTGTTCTATGCTATTCTATCAAAGAATGCTTAACTTCTCGTATTCACAATAGCACGATATTGTCTCACCTTGCGGTACCATTTTATTTTCGGTGGAGGTTGCATCGTAGTCATGCAACCGAGGACGAGCTTTTCACCGGCTGTGACTTGCACCGTGCTTCCGGGTGTTACGCGAATTGGTGACGTGTCAACGTCGATTATCAGCCTGTGCCTAATAGTAATGGCCGGTTTTTCGAGAATACTACATTCGTAATTGTCGGACATGTCGTTCACAGTGACGTTGTGGATCACCAACGAGTTGTTCTGCAGTCGAACGATCCTTCTCGTGTCGTTCGTCACGGCGAACGAGTCGTAGTACAGGGTTTCATTGTTTCGTTTCCACGAGACGGCCACGTTTTCTGAAATATACGTGGCAAATGAAAAACAATGAATTACATATTAATATTCCCTATTAAAGCAATTATACTATGTAATAATAATATTATCTGATATTATGTCGCAATACGATGTACTTATGTATGCATATTAACCCTTAACGGACCAATGCCGTCATATAAACGGCATAGCACTTTTACTTACTGTGTCGAATGTCGTGTATATGGCGGTAAAAATCATTTTATTATTTTTATCACTATTATTGTTGTAGTATTTACAATTGACACGTTAAGTCTTGTGCTAGGTCACTTCTATGGATTTGTTTCCGCTTGTTACCTATGTTATGCTATTTCTTGCATTATGTGTAGTCAATACTTGCAGCAGGAATCAATAAAATATATAATGAATGAATGAATAAAGATGAAAATAAAAATTGATTTTCTCGAAATGTGTTGAGTGGTTGACTCGTGCAGTTTTTGAAATTTATGTGACTTCAAGTACCGAGAAGAAAATGCAAGAGGAATTCGGAGTGCAAAGGGTTAAAAACACTTACCTGTATTTTTCACGATACACGGCAACGAAACCGTGGATCCGTTCTTTGCGTGTATCACTTTTGGCTTGGACAGGATCTGCGGCGGTTCTGTGCTGGTTCCAGGTTCGTCGTCATCCTCGATCGGTTCGCTCTCGTAATCGGGAGGTGGATCGTCGTCGTGGTAATCCTCGCTCTCGGAGCTCTTCGTCGGCTTGCACCAGGCTGGAACAAAAGGAATCCCGTCACGTTTAATTAACAGCGGTTCGCGCGGTTCGGTGAAAACACACCGGAGATATCGCCGGTCACGTTCCATTACGCCGCGGTTGGTGTAACGTTCACTTTCAGCGAAACCCCTCGAATTCGCGGCGACCGTGACTCTCGCGCCGCGGCTTATTAGCATAAGACGACGTGGAAAGGGAGGAATTTCTGTACGAACACGGGACACGGGTAACCCGGGAACGATGCGACCGGATCCTCGGAAAAGATTCAATTAATCGAATCGATATTCAATATTCGAACCTCTTGTTCTCTGATTTCTTTCATAACTACGCTCGTTGGAATTGTTTTGTTGTTAATAATTTGCAAGAGAGGTTTGAAATTGTCAAACTTTTGAACTTTCGAAGCTTCAAGCTTTTAAACTTTCAAACTTTTAAACTTTTAAACTTTTAAACTTTCAAACTTTCAAACTTTTAAGCGTTCAAACCTTCAAACCTTCAAACCTTCAAACCTTCAAACTTCCAAACTTTCAAACTTTCAAACTTTCAAACTTTCAAACTTTCAAACTTCCAAACTTCCAAATTTTCAATTTTGCCTAACTGCAAAGGATTAATTATTATAGCTTGTTTTCTACAGTAATAGTTACAAATAAGAATAAAGACTCTTCGTGCTACTTTCATTAATCCAGTACAGTAAACTAATCGATTCGTATAACACAGTATTGTTCCTGCAGTTTCTCAAAAACGTATTGCACGAAAAGCAAATAATCAATTTTCTAGAAACTTCCTAATTTGAACCCTCAAATCAACTAACGTCTCAAATCGGAATGTGTATTCGACCGCTCATTCTATACCTTCCACATTCGTTTAGTCGCTTTAATCCAATTCAATTACATTGATCAATAGAAGGCACTTTCTTCTAAATCCACAAATTACTCCTCGGGACGGCCTGACAGCAGGGAGAGGCGAGGCGGAACGAGGTCGAAATTAGATTTCTAGTACACGACATGCGCTTAATTTCAGGGCAGCGTATGTAAGCACATCGTTTTCTAATAATATGTGGCCCCCGCGTGCTCCGGTCTTCCCGACAATGCTTTTCCACTCGTTCGCCGCGCTTTCACGCGAGAGCCGCGCACAGTTCTCGCCGGAACGGTTCCGGCCGAACAAAGGAACCGCGGGGAGGGGTTACGAAACGCTAGAACGAACGAAATAAGAGGTCCACACCCTCGGCCGCGTGTCTACACCCAGTTTACCCCGTTTTCTGGCACGCCGACCTCGTGTGTCCGGTCGTTATACAGAGTGTCCCAAAATAACACGTGCAAGCAACAACATGGTGACTCCTCACGAAAAAATAACAAAACCGTACAGAATACAATATTTTCATTCGACACTTCGTTAACTAGAAAATCGAATTTGAAAATTTGCTACATCTCAGATGAATCAAATTCGTGGAGTAACTATTACTATTTTGTTTGCATACAATTATGTTGACCTTTATTAGATTCAAGTGATATTTGAACTCGATTTTCTGAAAGCCTTATTGTGCATCTATTCTTTTATCTTATTGTCATCTATTCTTTTATCTTTTCAGGAGGAATCAGCTTGCAACCGTTCGTACGTTTCGACGCACCCTGTATACCTGGCGACGTTCGATTTTAACCAGAAGCCACGCCCTTATTAGCGAAAAAATATGGATTGCCAAGGGTTCGAGGGGCGGGCCGCTCTCGGACAACCACTTGTCACCGGAAGGACGCGCCGTCGTCCGACTTTCTTCTGATTTCGTTATGAACTCTTCCCGTTGGACACGCGATCTGACCCATATCGAGGAAAAAAAGAGGGAAAATTGAAGACCGGCTCGAAATTACGAGCGTCCTCTTTATCGCAACTTCCCTGCGCCGTTTCATGCTAGACCACGAGGGGTCGGTGGTCGGCGCTGGCCCTGTTCGAGATTTTCAGATTTAGAGCAGGCTTTTGATAAGGTCCGGCTGAATTCGAAGGCAGACTGAATTACCGCGCGCTTTGAAACGTTTGCAACCCTTTGTTTCGCGTCGATAACGTGTCGGCGATGAGATTAAATTCTGGTTTGCCGGCGTGGAAGGTTCCCGGGGACAGGCTGGTTCTGAAATAGGGGATTGTAATTTAGGTGTACGTTGAGCGAGTTTAGTTGTGATATTAAAGTCGATCGAACGTAACAGGTATTTGGAGCGGCTGGGAAAAGTATTAGGACACCTGCTGGTTTTATGGAGCCGGGTAATGTTGTAAAATAGTTTGATCTAACAGTTTTATACGCGGACTATTTAGAATAAAAATGCTTGCGAGTTATAAAACGCGGGGTTTAGTGGACCTTAACGCTGCTTTATTCTCTTTCCCGTTTATTGGAGGCATTAACGAAGAAATGGAAATTTATATAATGTCGGTCTTTTTAAATTCGCATAAATTCGGAAAGCGTAAACGTTAACTGCGATACTTGAGACACTTTTCGCAGCGTAATCTTTCCTTCAGCTGTGTAGACTGGAACGTTTTTCAACGTGAATAGATTGCTCGAAGAAACAAGAAATCTGTACCAGCGATAATTCTGCATTTACCTTAAAGGTTAAATATTGATGACAGAAACAAATAGTTATTACCCTGTCGTTAAGGGAACGAATAATTCTGATGTTTATTTTTAATTTCAAGTTTTGGACATAAAACATCGCAAACAACGGGACGATATTTAACGTTGGAAATGTAAATCTAAATTCAGTGCAATAAACATAGTCATTAACCTTGTTCGAGAGGAAGGGCAAAACTTTTTGCCCAATCCATTAGTTTCTACTTCAGATGTTTGTAACGAGCCTAACGTCATTAAGGCGTTCGAGTCTGGCGAAAATATTTATTCAAGAAACTAGCTCGTGGAAGGAAGCGTTTCAACGTCGCGTCACCGAATGCGAGATACGTTTAATCCTTTAAGGACAGGAAGTTTTTAGAATATTTAAAACCTTCAGTGGAGGAAGCTAAATTATATATAGAGTTTCTAAATATACGAGATACAAATTTTTGTACATACTTTCTTTCCTATCTAGTATCTAGTATCTAGTATCTAGTATCTAGTGTCTAGTGTCTAGTGTCTAGTGTCTAGTATCTAGTATGAAAGTTAATCGTCTTCAAAATGCCGACATTTGTCCCCAGAGGGTTAAGCCCGAGAGTGACCCGTGAATCTAGGTTAATGGCTGACCACTACGTGCCGATAGTTCAGTTTCTACTTAGCTTGCGAGCCGCGGTTAAGGATATCGGGTGGCGGACTCCCCTGGCGACGACCTAGAAAAGTCGCCACGGTGTCCCATTGTTCAATTTACTCTCACCATGGACACTTCCCGGCCGATCCTTCTCCTAGCTCGCATGTTCGAGTGAAATTAAGTTTCCTCGAGGGAAACGCGCCCAGCTGCCGGCGTTCACTGCGGAAATTGAACGTAATTCCTGCAGGATTACAATCCTCATCGCGACGCGATGGATTTAAATCGAATTTGCATATCAATTTCAATCGTCTAGCTTTCAACCGTTTGTGCGAGGTACTTGTACCAATAACTAATTAATTAAAACTATGAAGGCAGCGTACTTATATTATAAATATAAACATACTTCTACATAAACATTATATATCATATATTTAAATATTTATATATTTAATATTTAAATCGAAATATTTATATTAGATATTAAGTACTTATATTTATATAACCTTAACTGATTAGCCATTGCTCCCTAAATTCACCTTATTTTCTATTTATTTCGATTTAAAAAGATTAGTCAGTTATATGGTGCAAGAATCGACTCGTGAATTTTCGTCGTTCGGTTGGATTCGTGTTATGTTTTCCGAGAAAAACGAGTTTTCCGGCGCTCGCCGTGGAAACTGTATACAGCGCCCGCGGGATTACGATCGTTATTCAGCTGCGGCGGCTTTAAAACGATTTTGAGTATCGACTTCAACCACCTGGCCTTTAAATTCATTTCGAACATCGATTCCAGCTACTTGCAGTGGAGTTTAATCGGCGACTGCGTCAGCGTCTAATTAATTTTGCGATATTTAATCAGGAACGATCCTCGGGGAAGTAGTAAATGTACGTTATCCCTGCGACTATAGTAGTGGAAAATATTTTTGGTGTTTTCAGCGTGAGATATCAATCGTGCAAGTAGTTAGTTAGCTGGAAGTTTCGGTGGAAGTTTGTATGGCACTGCAATACTCATCCCTGGGATATTTACATTTTCTTTTCATACATGATCCCTTTCAAACTCTTGTCCTTATTATACCGATCCAGCCTGCTTACGATGCTTTTAAACGAAGATTAATAAACACGAAAATTATTCACCCTTTCAAAGTTAAACCAAGACACTATCCTCTTTTTGCCAACATTCAATCTTCAGAACACGAGCATTATTGGGATTTTATTGGTCACCATCGTACACCTCGACATATGGCAGTATATATCTCAACTTGCAATATTCGAGAATATCATAACGATTCGAACAGCGTCCGCCAACAAAAGGAGCGGACAAGAAAATAAAAATTCAAAGCCCAACGTGTCACGGAAAATCGTAAAAGGTACCACCGCGGAAAGTCGTTCGAAGAAAGCCAAGAACCGTGGCCCTTCACGATAAGGAAACGTTCGCGAAACGAATCGTCCGAGACACAGGAGCATTCGTAGTCGCGAATGAATATTCAAAGCGACCTTTCGTGAAAGCACGTTGTATACTACAGGGGGATCCGTTTCTCCTCGAGCTGCCGAAGTTACGAGCGCATTAAAACCCGGCGATTCTTCATCCGCCCGCAGTCCCATTTCGCTGGACAAAAGGTAAGGACATCTGAAAGCCGATCTATACGTTCGGCGATGTCCAAGGTGAATGGAAAGAAGCGGCAATACGCAATGCATCATAAACCAGGCATTCGAGTAAATGCAATAAAGGTACGGCGCAAGAAACTGGCCAGCCGGCGCGGTAGCTTCATCAGGGAGGTCTTGCGAAATAGGAGGA